AAAATACATTTAAAGTTAAAATAAATAACCACACGTTAAATATGATTAGTCAAATCAAATGTTTGGGTCTAATCCTTGACGAAGAAATTAGATTTGTGAGCAATACTGCATTTTAAGTGCGAAAAGCTTATTCGTCTCTTAGATTACTTTATTCAAATATAAATATAATTAATTTTAAACAACGTAAAAACCTTGTTGAAGCTTTTCTACTTTCTGTTTTAAATTATTGTTTAACTGTGTATTTTCCATGTCTGGATATTTCTAGTTGTAACCGTCTCCAAAAAATTCAAAATACGTCTTGTAGATTTGCATTTGGTCTTCGTAAATATGATAGGATTTCAAATAAAATAAATGAGCTTGGCTGGCTGAAAATGACCACTTTATTTAAATATCATATTTCTGTATGTACTCACAAAGTTTTACTGACGTCATCTCCAAATTACTTAAGAGAAAAACTTGTGTTCAGAAAAAGTCTTCATGTGGAACCCTTAAATTTACGTCACACCTCTACACTGTTGGCCTTACCAAGATTCCATACTGCCTTGTCGCGGAGATGTTTTACATATAATGCGATCATTCTTTATAATAAGCTGCCAAAAGAAATAAAGTCATTTTCGGTGAGCAAATTTCGTGCTTTTGTAAAAAATTTCTACTCCGCTGTACAAAAAAATTATTAGTGTTAAAATTACCTTATTATTTTTCGATTATGTACTCTCTCTTTCACTGTCATTACTTTTTCCTCTTGTATGCATTTTGATTTAGTTTTATGTGTACTTAGGTTAAGTTGAATAGCCTATTGGCTAGACTTCGCATGTACATATTACTTACGAAATAAAGACCTTTATTATTATTTATTATGAATAGAATGATAGTTCTAGTAACTTAGTTTAGTTCAATCTAGAAATAGTTTGATGTTTTTTGCAATTAAATTTATACGTAACCATATGGTTGCACTGCCTCTAAAGTACTTATTTTTTAATCAGATTATGAATTTTTTTTCATCAAGAATTATTGAAGCGGGATAAATTTCGTCCACCTCCTGAAAAAATATCTGATTCAGACTTATATGATTATTCCGACAGTGAAACAGACGAAAACGACCAAAATTTTATTTTTGCTAGAGTTTTGGTTTAAGAAATTGATTCAAAAAAGAGTTGTTTAGCAGATAAAACAGAAGAAGATATCTGAGACAGATTATCCAGAAGAAACAACATAATCCTCATAGGAGGACGAAGAATCTGCTTATACCACCACCCAAATAAAAAGGAAAACTCAAGATACCTGCAAGAGCCAAAAATACAAAATAAAAATTCAATTTTAATTTTATAATTGGACAAAGAATGACATAACAAATAAGGAAGACAGAGAAGAATTCCAACCAATAATAATATATTTCGTATTTTTTTTGAATAAACTTTAAACATTTCGTAAATAGGCAAAGTGACCTTATGGTTACATTATCAAAGTACATCAAAGAAAATAAAACCGCCATTACGGTGGGACTTAAAAAGCAGAGAAAAATCCCAAAATCAAGAAAAAAATTACGAGACAGAATAATGACGTTTTAAAATTACAAATTTACTCGTTTCAGTATAACACACCGTATAAACACACTAATTAAAACGTTTAATTATTATAACTATATTAATGACAAGATTTACATAAAAGAAATGTTGAGGCTAAATGCAAAAGCATTTTTATTACTTTCTCCTCACAGATGGTTTATAACTGCGGTTAGGTAGGAGGACCCAAATAATGAGGGTCGGTTTATGGACACGTCATTTTCAACTTTTCTGAGTGTACGTTTTCTAATAACAAATATCAATTACTAACACCTAAAATGCGATTCTAATGTAACTTGAATCATTCTTACAAACTTCATAATTTTCCTTTTATTTAAACTGGTCCTGCCGCTTACAGCCCAAGTAGCACATTTAATCTTTTAAAAAACAAATCAGCTTTATTGCTATTTTATAACTAATGTATGTATTACCAACTTGTTTTATTACAGATTTAATTATGATCAAAAGGAGTTTGGCTATAGCATTAGCTATCTATAAGTGTAAAAAACTTGTATACAATAATTTTATAAATTAGTTTTATTAATGCGCCATTTCTACAGTAAAACTGTTTTACGTACGTCTCATATAAAACTATCAGCTATATAAGTAATTTATATCAGACGGTAACAAAGACAACTGTAAAACGTCAATCTGCGGTTGTCGAGTTGTATTATTTGGCGTTATAAGCGTTTTTCTAAAGTGTTTTAACACTTTTAGCGACTATGTTTTATTCGTCACTTCTATAAATATACTTTATAAAAAGTGTTTAATTGAAAAACTTAAGTATTATAAACGTTTTAAAAAAGTATCGAGTGATTCTTGGCCTACAGCCATCTTTAAAAGTATGTTTTATTATTCACATCTTCCGCCATTTTGTATGATTAAAGAATCTGTTCATTTTTTTTGTAAATTTTAATATTAAAGTACAAATATCAAAAAGAACTTAACATATTTAAGTTATTGAAAATATGTAAATAAGAAATTTTAAAGTACTAAATATTTTTCAACGAAATATTTTTACAACAATTTAACAAAAAAAAAATTTTTCCAAAATTGTTATGGCGCATTTATTTTGTAAGAGCACAATTTACTATTTCATCAGTAAAGTGGAGGTGGCATGTATTCTAATGTTTAGGTGCACTCGAAAAACAACAATTTCTAAATCATACCTAGTAACTACAATATAGAGTTTTGTAGTTGCCAGTGTAACACACAGGCATATTGAACTTGAAATAAATTCACCACTAAGTGTACATCTATAGATCTCATATATAGCAATTTTTTATTATACAGGGTGAATATAAAGTATGGAACCAAGCGGTTTTATTTTTAATCATTTGCCTCCAGAAAATAATAATTAATATAAATTAAAGTAATATAAAAAATGTGATCGTATTTACAGAACGAAATTTTGTTTTGTTTTTAAGTTATGCGATGTTTTTTTGTCAAAAATGCAATTTATGTAAAAAAAAATTTTGAAAAAATTAAATATAAAGCAGATAGTTATAATCCTTAGAGTATAGCTTTTATGAGAAAAATGACTTTATAGTGGGTTGCCATTTAAAATTTTTTTTTTTTTTGTAGAACTCAAAAACAAAAGGAAATTTCGAAAAATTTTATTCTTATTAAATCATCACATTTTTATAGTACTTTATCACTCATCAATTAGTTTTCAAAAAATAAATAGTTTAAGCAAAAAACGTTTGGTTCCATACTTTTTATTCACCTGGTATATCAATATTTACACCAAATAACTTTGTAAAGTATTCTCACTACCATCACTAAACAGCAATTATTTTTATTCAGCATTCATATTAGCATCTTTAACACCATTTATCAACTTTTACAGAACACAGAACCACACTACTTTATAACTGCTGCAGAAGTTACTGTATAGTTACTAGAGGCACGACATTACAGCATTTTAAAAATGTACTGTTTAAGATAAAATAAGCGACTTCTATACAACAAAATAGCGGTATAAACTGCGCCTTTTTTAGCCACAAAATTGTTCTGTAAGTGTTATAGTAATGCTTTTATAGTTGAATTATGTGTCTTTTAGTTTTAATAATTTACTTTATAAGCGCATAAAAAATAATAATATAATAAATTGTGTTACTTGGGAGGGTTAATGCCGTAGTAACTACGGCGTAGTTTATCGTCGAGTTTTGGAGGAATGTATGTTCTGCCAGTTTTTGAGGAAAATTTAACATTTCAGCATGTAACAACTTAAGTTTTTGTCATAACATTATTGTAATTATTTTAAAATTAAAGGACAAGTGTCCAGTTCATCGGACAAGAATCGTTAATGAATATTTAGAAAACGAAGAAATTAATGTCTTGCCTTGGCCGTCCAAAAACCCTGACTTAAACCCGATAGAAAATATTTGGGGTACAATGGTTAATACTATGAAAGCACACAAAATGAAATGGAACTGCGACAGAAAATTGTCGAAACCTGGGAGCAGATTACTCCTGAATTAACGAGAAAATTAGTTCAATCAATGCTGCAACGTTTACAAAACGTAATAAAAAAAATGGAGAAATGACGAAGTACTGAAATCGATCCTAACGCTTTAAAAATTGAAATATTTTCTAATAAAATAAATCAATCTTCGTTTGTCTTTTCAGTTAAAATTAAAGTAATTGCTCTGTATTTTGAAGTCTTTGTTGTGTTATAGATTAAGTAGAAAATGTGGGCATTTTTTTTTACTTTGTTTGTTTTATTCGTCTATAATCTTAAAAATTCTTCAAAGTTGTCAGACAACGCAGTCTATCACAAAGTCATAAATTTATCATTTTATTCGTAAAACTTGTTTCGAAGAACCGATTTAATGCCTATTTAAGAATCATATGACATATTTGACATTACCATGACAAATACTTAACCTTTACTCGAAAATTATGACAAATCCGACTTACATACAAAAATAGTGTCTAAATCAAAATTTGAATTTTAGAAGTGTCTACAGCAACACACTGTACCAGTATATTTTGACTTCAATGGTACAACCTCTTATGCGAGAAAAATACTGAAAACTTGCAGGTTATGTCACCCACATGACAGTTAGAGTAGACCAGCTATTTTTTAAAGTTGTGGGTTAGAGTTCCTATATATTTCTAATGGGATTAGTGGATTTAAGAGTCTAATAACTGTCTTATGCAAGCAAAATTACTTCTTAGGCTGCATCTATTGCCGCTGGTACTTGACATTTTTCTCTGGGGCGCGAGTTCTGGCGCACGCTGTATAACAAACTAATTAAAAGCGAATTTTAACGATTTTAATATACTCTAAAAACAGGTCAAAATCTTAGAAAATGTTACTTTTTAAATATACCTTTAAAAACAGAGCAAAATCCTTGAAAAATGCTACTTTTTTAAATACATATACCTATCTTAAAAAGTAAAATCCTTAAAATAATTGCTTTTTATACATACCTTTAAAACAGGGCAAAATCCTTATGAAAGTGTTGTGTGCTGAAGGGGACTTACTAGTAGTAATTCATATCCTGATATATTCCACATTTCTTCTTCTTCATCCTCCCCGACAATTGGCCTTAGCTTCGAGGGCATGTGGTGAATTTCACCTCAAAAGCAGCCTCTGCGAGAAAGTTTCGAAGCCCTTTTATGATTCTTCTGCGTTCATCCTGGGGGCCAACATCTACACCTACACCTCTTTGTTCGTTGATTCGGCTAAGAATTTCAGCGAATTCATCAGATAAGCTCATGTTAGTGACAACTTAACCTCAAACAATGCACATGCAATGGTATAACAAAGTCTAACAGCAATAGCTACACTATTTAACTCACAAATCACAGGAATTCTACCGACTCGTCCGTATTCACACTCGATTTTGGCAAAAATCTCGAAATACACAATGGAAAATGATATCGGCTTCTTTACCTCTCGTATGCACACGCGACACAGATTGCACACGAGATGTTTTTTTTAATTTAAAAGTGACGTTCAGTGTTGCCAGATCAAAAACATAAAATTCACCAGATCCGAGTTGAAAAGTTTTGCCAAATCACCAGATTACGATTTGTAATTTGGCAAAATCTCGCAAAAAAACGCAGCTTTCAGCTCAAAAATCTGCTTAAACTCTTGAAAAAAAAAAAGAAAAAATGACATGCTTTTCGGCCTAATTCGGCTTGAAGTCAACAAAATTTTGCGGAATAATTAGGTTTTTTTCTAGCTGAAAAAAGTGCTGAAATGCTTGAAAAATACAAAAATAATGTAATTTTAGACTTAATTTCTTGATTATTTGTTTGTTTTAGCGAATTCTAGCGAAAAACCTTTAATTTATTACAAAAACGTGCTTAAAAGCATTTTCGGCCAAATTTTGTGTTTTCTCGACTTATTTAGCTCAAAAATCAGTTAAATCCAGTGAGACAAACATAGGTATCAATTCTTTTTCTGATTTTAGGCGTGTTTGGACAAGATTTTGCAAAATGAATGAGACTCTGGGTCAAAACCGAACTAAGTCTAGAGTCGAGCTAACAAGCTAAAACATAATATCAATTTGGATTTTGTAATTGTTTAGCATGTTTCAATGCAATATTTCGAACTTTTTGTGTTTTCATCTTTCAAAAAAATCAAAAAACGCCGTTTTTTAGACTATTTTGTTAAATTTGTGGCTTGTTTTGCAAAATAATTGTGTTTCTAACCGAAAAAGCATTCGACTTATCATTTTCGACTCTGTTTGGTGGTTTTCGATTATTTTTTCTTCGAGGAAATTTCAGGAAATAATCAAGTTAAAGGCTAAGAGTTAAGTAAAAATATCACAATATAATCATTTTCTTATAACATTGTAATAATTTTGGACACGCTGTGGCAAACTCTTGCTAAAAAATTAATAGCTTTCAGCTTAAAAATCTGCTTTAACTTTTGAAAAAAAAAATTATATTATTTTTGACCTCATTGTGTGTTCTTTGGTTTGTTTTTAACGAAATGATTGCGTTTCTAGCTGAAAAACGTGCTAAACCTTTCAATAAATACAAAATTAATGTAATTTTTAACTTAATATGTTAATTTTTCAGTTCGTTTTAGCGAAATCTTGCAAAAAACCTTAGACTGTAATAGAAAAACGTGCTTAAACACATTCTCGGCTTATTTTTGTTTTAATTGTGCTCAAAAATTAGTTAAATCAAGTGAAGGAATCAAAATAACATCAGTATAATTTGTTTTTGTAATTTTTAAGCGTGTTTGGACAAGATTTTGCAAAATAATGAGCCTCTGGTTCAAAAACGAAGTAAGTCCAGAGAAACAAATTATATCAATTTCGATCTAATTTTGTAATTTATTGCCTGCTTCAACAAAACTTTTAAATTCTTTTTTGTTTTTATTTTTATTTGACGAAATAATCAAGTTTCTGGTTGAAAACGTGGAAAATGCTCGAAAAACAGTTTTTTTTCATTTCCAAAAAACCACCAATTAGAATTTTTCACAAAATCACCAGACTAACATGAAAATCACCAGATCTGTTACAGTTTCACCACACACACTTGGCAACATTGGTGACGTTTCTGACAAATGTCAAACAATATTCTAACCTAAAAATGTCAGATGATGCAGTTTTTGAATTTTTACATTCTGAAGTAATTAATTACTTCGTGAGCCGAAATGAAGATCAAAATACAGAGGGAAAGGTAAATGTGTCTACTTTTGTGTCAAATGTAATAATGCGGTGTTTCTAGGATGAAGATTTGTCCACAATTGAGTACATGGGGTTTTCTACTGGGTACAGGATAATAGAAAGGTGTTCCACATTGTTTATCGTTTCAAAATCCAATTGTAATATTTTATAGGTTGACGAAAGAAATGCCACGTTTTAAAGACGAACTAGACACAATGAAATTCATTTGTACTGATTTCTGGTCAGCGATTTATAAGAAACAAATTGATAATTTAAGGACAAACCATCAAGGTGTTTACGTGTTGCAAGATAACAGTTTTCGATTTCTCACAAAGTTATCAAATGGAAAACAATATTTAGAAGTAGCTCCCAGATTTGCTGCATTTACTTGTGGGGTTATCAGAGGCAGTCTTGCAAATTTAGGAATTGCAAGTCTTGTTACTTCTGAAGTATTAAACATGCCGTCGTGTAAATTCCACATACAGGTTCAAAGGACATAAAAAAGTTTATTAAAATGGAATTCTTTTATTTTTTATTTGGGTGTATTCGAAGAAATGTAATGTAAGAGATCAACTGCTGTAATAATTCCAACGGGTTTTTCAATTGTTGATTGTCCAGTATCTGAAAATATATTTATCAGTAAATTACATTTAAAATTAATATAAACAATACTTTGTTTTTCTAAAACTAGAACGTAGTTTTCACGCTCTAAAACTCTAGAGACAAGACCCAAACTCGTATTTTTGAAAACTTTAGGAAACACCGTAACGGAAGCTTTGTCAATTGAGTCACTCGGTTTAACATTTCCGCTGATCAAGACATTTAGTATTTTCTGCATTGTGACCATACTTAAAATTCCCCTAAAACTGATCAAATATTTTTGAATCTTGACCTTATCAAGAAAACTTGCCCATTTTTATCAACAATAGGCACCTGATCGATCCCTTGTTTTTTCATAACGTGCATAATCCTCTCACATGTCATACTTGAAGTTGCAGTTATAAGCGGTTCTAGCGTGAAGTTAGCAACACTCTGGTCCCACCACCAGTGATTATTTGGATTTTCACACTCTTTAAAACCTTTAGATTCCATCCAGTGGTCCGAAACAAACTTTGTGATGTAATTCCTGATACTATCAGGGATGATAACAACGATTCTTTGTCCCTTTTTCAAATCCCGACCTGCTTTTACTGCCGCTGCTACCACAGCACCAGCACTGCCACCTGTAAAAAATCCAGTCAAATTCCACCAAAACAATGAAAAAAAAGTACCGCACAACAACCCTTCCTCTTTGATCAATTTTCGGGCCATGGGAAGTGCTTCTTGATCGTTCACTTTGACCCAATGATCGACAACAGAGCGATCAAATCCCGTGGGAATAAAATCGTAGCCTATCCCCTCAACCTCGTAAAAATCAGAATCAGTTTGGTTGAGCTCCTCTGGTTGAGCTAAAATCGACCCCACGGGGTCTGCCCCCACAATGATTGTGCTGGGGGACGCCTCCTTGAATTTTTTGCCAATCCCTGTGATAGTACCCCCCGTGCCAGTCCCCACAACGATCATATCGACTTTTCCACCGCATTGGTCCAGAATTTCCTCCGCCGTGGTGTCATAATGCGCCAAGGGGTTCCCCGGATTGCTGTACTATTGTCACAAAACAAATTACAATCATAAATGAATGACTAATTAAGTTACCTGATCCAAAATAATCGAATTGGGAATTTCCTTCTTTAGCCTGTGACTCACTCCGAAAAGCCCTTCTGGCGAATTAGAATCAGCCGTGATTGGTGTTCGGACAATTTCGGCTCCTAATGCTTTCAAAACGTCGACTTTTTCGTTTGACATTTTCTCCGACATGACTATAATGCATCTGTAGCCTTTGACTGCCGCTCCAAGGGCAAGTCCAATTCCGGTGTTACCGGAAGTTGGTTCAATTATGGTCGAACCCGGTTTCAAAATTCCCGCTTCTTCGGCATCTTCGATCATTCGGAAACCAATTCGGTCTTTGACCGACCCTCCGGGATTGAAATATTCGCATTTCGCAACTAAAAATATTGATAATCAAAGTCGTTCGAGTGAAATCAAAACACAATAACATGGCGAAAATAAGAATTAAATAGATTAGATAACGTAGTTTCCTTTATTACATAAGTGTGTTGATAAAATGATTTCATGAATTCACAGATTTTCCTTCAATGTTATTCACCTACTTGTTATTTATTTGAAATTTTAATTTTTGCTATTGTTATTACGAAAAAAATTGCAAATAATTACAATAACAAATTGACGTGGATTCTAATTTTAAAATATAGAGCACTTATGACCAAAAACATTGAATAAGTTACAGTGTAACTTATTCAATGCCAAAAATGACGTAATTCTTAATCCCAGAATCTAAATATAACGTGAAAATCCATTTCAGTCATTGCGTTTATCGAAATCGTACATAAAAACCTTTCTCATTTATTTAAAATCTCAGTTATTTTGTGATACCTATGATTGTGATCATTTATACTAGGTACTACTAATATTATTGTAAGAGTTGTAGTGTGCCATGAAATAACATAACCAATGCCAAATTTGGTATTTCTATTAAATTGTTATGTCGTAGGCTAATTGTAAATTCAGTCGTTTTATAAAACGTCTAGTCATTTTACAATATGACGGAAAATTTTAGGCGTATTATAAAAAGCCTAATAAGTTTTCGTCTTATTATAAAGTACAGTTGGAGACAAAATACTTTGGTCGTCAATGTCACTTGAGTGACATTAAATTAATTATTAACTAATTAAAGCATGCTTTAGGAACTGTTAACCTTACTTTTAGCTACTGTCAATCATAGTTGACAAGTTGTATGTACATATTTTTGATAGGAAAATATAACAGCTGTCATTAATTTGAAATTGTCATTCATTTTAACTTATACATACTCGTTTTCATATTACTTAATGTGCATCGAAGTAGTCGATGAAAGGGATCATTTTAAGGTGGCAACCATGCGAAAATTCAAACAATCCTAACCTCAATCTTCCCTAAAAATTATTTTTTTCATATAAATGTTTAAAAATATTTAAAATTACCAACGTAATTAACATAGGATAGCAAACATAAAGATTTTTGTCATTATTGATGTGATTGATTAAATTTGTTCTGAATGACAATAATGACACTTTTTGTGTAAATCGGCCATTAAAGTAAAGATTCATTTAGACTTCTACAACCTACTTGATGCATATTAATATAAACAGGAGTATAGCTTGAATTACATTAAAGTGTCAGAAAAGTGACGAACAAAGTATTTTGTCTCCAACTGTACGTATGGTTCATTTATAATACGATTGAGTCACAGATTAACTTTAAAAAGTTCAGTGTAAACTACCTCTTTCTGTCATCATGAGTGACATTTGACAATTAAACTTCTATGTTGGTGACGCTATTTTTGAAAGTAAATAGGTAAGTCAAAATGACAAGAGTAAAAAATGAGGTGATTAATGTAAAGGTTGTTTTACAGTTTACATTATACATTATGAAAATGACAATACTGCCCCAAATTTTAATTCCGCAACTGTACAATTAGCCTACGACAATTACATTTTTATAGGGTAGTGTTAGTTGGTAGTTAAAAGTTATAATGTCTATACTTCTTTTCATATTAATGGTCTAAATGAATATCTACTTTAAAGGCCGATTTACACAAAAAGTGTCATTAATGTCATTCAGAACAAATTTAATCACATCAATAATGACAAAAATCTTTATGTTTGTTACCCTACACTGGCGGACACGGAATTTTGGACATCAAATTTGTCAGTTCAAAAAATGTCAATGTAAGTCACGCTTTATTGTCATTATGATTGACGTTTGAAACTAAAATTTGAAAGTTTTAGTTGTTTGGCGTCGATTTTCGGAAACAATAATGCCAGCAATACGTGTTTTTATATAAGATCAATAAATTATTTTGATTTGTTGTCATTTTTTCTCTAGCTATCAGGATAAAAATTACAAAAACTGAAAGTGAGGTTAGTTGCCTAAGGCCCGTTTTACATTTTTATGTCACTGGAATGACAAATCGTCCAAAATTCCGTGTCCGCCAGTGTATGTTAATCACGTTGTTAATTTTAGTCATTGTTTGCTACATGGGGTACACATTTATTTGAAAAAATAATTTTTGGGTAAGATTGAGTTTAGGATTGTTTGAATTTTAGCATGGTTGCCACCTTAAAGTGATCCCTTTCGATGCACATTAATATGAAAACGATTATAGTTAATTTGACATTGGTTATGACACAAAAAGCCTCCTATGACCTAAATCTTTAAAGGGTTATTTTTCGAGTTTTGCAAAAATATGAGAAGTTACATCTAGTTTATTTATATTAATTACTTACGTATTTCACACTCCAGGCCATAGGTCTTGGTGATCTTGTTGAGCCTCACGAGGGGTGTATTCCCCACTGCTTTGGTAACATCAGAATAAATTTTCTCCTGGGTTCTCCTATAGAAAAATAATTGTATTAAATCCGTAAGAGAAGCGAACCACAATACCATTCTGTCCTTCGATGTGGGGTTGAATCTGGGTCAACGCCTTTATGCCACGTACACTTGGGTGGCTGATCGGGGGTTGCAAAATTCACATTGAGATTCGAGATGAATTTTAAACCGGTTTTTTTACACTGAACTGGTTTTTGTCCTTTTCCATTGATGACTCCAGCCATTGTTTGCTGCTCTTGTAACACAGGTTGAGGTTAAAACTTGTATCCAAGTGATTATTTATTGGTTGTGGTTAGTGGGAATTACAGCCGCACGCGTGAATAGTTGATCACTTGAGGGGCAATTGGGTCGAATATTTTACTGGCCGACAATTTGCACCTGTTGGTGGTGGACACAGAAGTAGAAGAAATTTGGTATTCCATCTCTTCGTTTTATATCTGTTGATATTCTTTAATCAAGGTCAGAGATTGCCAAATTATTTTTCAATCAAAAACAACAATCGGTTCGGAGTGGAAGAATCGTTATCGAAATTTATTGAGTAAATTTAAATGATTATAAAAATAAAACGTATGATCTATAAACTATTGCATAAAGTTTTATTTATGCAGAGATTAGGAATGAGGTCAAAAATTACATATACTCGTTTTCATATTAATGTGCATCGAAGTAGTGTCGTACCAACAAGAAATTACTCCCTAGGATTTAGGGATATTTTTGAATAATTTGGTTAGGTTGGTTTCTGGTGACAAATAAAAGATATCGTAACTAGTGTCAGCCTTGTATGCATAATGATAGTTGGCAGCAGGTTGACAGAAAACGTCAACCGACAACAACAAGGGGTAACCAACCTTAGGCTTACAAAACTACTTCTGAAAATTCTAGTTACAAACAACATGAAAAATGTAAAAATCCTAGGTGGTAATTTCTTGTTGACAAATCTGTAGTCGTCGAAAGGGATCATTTTAAGGTGGCAACCATGCGAAAATTAAAATAATCCTAAACTCAATCTTCCCTAAAAATTATTTTTTCAAATAAATAATGTGTACCCCATGTAACAAAAAATAATTAAAACTAATAGCAAACATAAAGATTTTTGTCATTATTAATGTGATTAAATTTGTTCTAAATGATATAGTGTAAATTGGCCTTTATTAAAGATTCATTTAGACTTGTACAACCTACTTGATGCACATTAATATGAAAAAGAGTATATTAGACCTCATAGAAACCAAGAAGGATATCGATAGGCGGAGCCAATGCGTACTAGGTGTGGTGGGGAAACTTGAGCAGTGGCGTAACACAGAACCATTCTATGATAAAAAGGGAATTGTAGAGTTGCATTTTTTTCGTATATTCATTGACTGAGATATGAAATATAAAAAATTCATACGATGCTCCACGATTATTCCAAATATACGGTGATATTAATTTCTGTATAAATAAGACGAACAAAAAGTAACAAATATTTTCGTTTATTAAAAATATAAACATAGACTGGCGGACACGGAATTTTGGATGATTTGTCATTCGACTGATATTTTGTAATTTTTATACTGAGAGCGAGAGAAAAAATGACAAAAAATCAAAATAATTTATTGATCTTAGATAAAAACACGTATTGCTGGCATTATTGTTACGGAAAATCGACGCCAAAAATAAATTTCAACTAATTGAACTTTCAAATTTTAGTTTCAAACGTCAATCATAATGACAATAAAGCGTGTCTTACATTGTATCATAATTAATTTAATTAATTTTTCAAAGTTAACATTTATAAGATGCCCCTGTTAATAAGTAGGTATATTAAACATTTTTTACTGATGTTTTGTTTTCATGCCTAGTCAATAAGATGTAAGAATTTAGTAATAATTTGAACCTTGTTGAACAATTTCTAATAACTTTCTCAAATGGTTACTGAGTATTGCAGTTTATAAAACAACAAATGCCTTAAAAATGTTATTTAGTAATAAAATGAAAATATTTTCATTACAGTATAGGTATGGATTATTTGTTTTGTGCAAATAAATAAGTGCGAATACACGCCACTACTCTCAGCTGATTTCAGAACTCCCCTATATTTACGAATGGATTCGTCCGCGACCAGTTTTCGTCTCTGCGCATCCCTTCCATCGATATCCTTCTTGGTTTCTATGACTTCTACATATTCTTACAAATATAGTTTATACAACCAACAATACATACACTCGGCGGTGGCGAATAAAACCAAAACGTCAATTTTGGGTTCAAAAAACTTTATTTAAATTTGTAAATACAACAAGTAGGTGCTCGATGTTAATCTTATGTTTACATGAAATGTACTATTGATGTCAGAGCCATGTATCCCGTAATAATAAACCCAGTGACCCAAGCGAGGGCTCTCGCCGGTTGTGGCACAACAAAAATTGCATAAACCAAGGTGTGCATAAATCTAGCAGCGGTGTAGACCCGGAAAAGAAGAGTTGCCCATGCCACTGCTGGATTTGTCAAAACATAAATAAAACCGATAACGAAAAATAAACTGATGTTTTCCAAATCATTTAAATGTGCCCTGGAAAAACAGAATGAATTGGGAATGGTGACTGTGTTTTTGTTACCTTCTGACTCTCTCGACATTATCGTCCGTGCGGGGCTTGACTTTGAGGCTGGCGCCGTCTTCAGGGTTAGCAAAGGCCTAGAAATTGAGATAAATTAGTTTCAAATTGAAAAATGATCGACTCATTTCCAATGTCACTCGAAATAATCTCTATTTTTATCACTTCGATTATAAATAGCGACTGAAAATACCAACTCATGGTGATAAACAAAAATAAGAAACATGTAACAGTTCATAGTATTAATTACGTTACATGCAGTTTTATTATACAAAAATTTGTGCAATCATCATATTACAATAACACTTTTACAGCAATTAAGACAGCAGCAAGGAAAATGATAGTAAAATCATCATTTTCCAATCTCTGTGCTTTATTTTTATGATCTTGACGATCGATGATTCTTGTGAACAAACTGGTGTTATTTCCATCAAGTGTTTTGTCTTGTGCAACACTATTTTCCCCCATTCTCCACTTAAGTGCTGCAGTTGTCATATGCCCATTATCTTCTTCAAATGTAAAATTTCTCCTTTCATCCTCATTGATGTTGAAAAATTGTTGGATTAGCTCAGTCCAGTTTAAAACTTTCGGAAATTCGGACAATTTTTCGAAATTTTGAGCCGGCGCATTGGCCACAAATGTTTTATTTGGTAAACAATTTGCATGACCGAATAAGAATACCAAAAAAAAGAGGAAATATGCCCACAGAGAACGACTCATATTTAATGACAGGAATAAAATTGGCAATAAAAATGACAGTAAACAAAAGTTGCTTATTTTTCTAAAAGCGGTAGAGAGATTAAAATAACATGAATAGGAAGCTTGTAAAATTGTTCAACAGTGAAAAATAGATACGGTGTAAAGTGGAAAACCTTGTACTTTACAGTGTTTGTAATAAACAGGAAAAATCGGTCCCGATTTACTCGAATTATCATTTTTTTTTTTGGAGATGTATAAGGGTGAAAACAAGTTTTTTTTTCCTTAGGGTTAATAGCAGATTCAATTGTGAAAATCTACCACCCCCATCAGTGACAAAAAAATTCTACATACCTTATATCTGAATCTCATCATGCCGGTCATTGGGGACATAATCATCATTTTAACCACCAAAATAGCCGAATAAAATAAATAAGCTCGAAACGCAGGGGATTCGAGAAGTGATTGGAAATCGGTAACTTGGGCCATTTTTTTCAAAATTAAAAATTGAAATGATTTTTTCTAAAGTGTACCGCTTCTGGCTGATTGCTTTAGTCGACTAATGATTTATCACAATAAAACTCAAGGAACGATATGACCGTGACAAGCATAACTTTGTTTAACTATTAACTTTTGTTGGTACATAACCTAGAAATGTGTGAATTAAAGTGGATTTTTAACAATGAGACTAAATTTTTAATATTATTTGAAAAATTTATTTCAAGAATTTATTAAATGGTAGTAAAAAATCATTTCAGTTGCAAAAATAAATCAAAATTGTAATATATTTTTCCGGTTGTGTATATTGTGTTGTCTATCTTAATCTCTAAAGGATTCCACAAATCACAAATAAAAGCTGGAATGTGGAATCCAAAGTCCAAGATGGACAAGATGACTCCTAAAAATGCCCCTAGAAATGTGTTTCTCATAAAATGGCATTACATAAATAATTAAATTTGCAAATGTAAATTGTCAATGATACAGGGTGTTCCATTTTTATTGTTACGAATTTACCAGGTGATAGAATATTCAATTTTAAGATAAAACTTTTCTATAAACACATATCGAAAAAATTTATATAAGGGAGCCACATCTCCTGAAAGGAGTGCATTTATTAATAGATTTTTTCCAATATTTCAGAAACCATCGTGGATAAAATTACAAAATTTGGTACAACTGATAACCTTTATACACCCAAATGAATTCAAAGATAAAATGTCGAAATTTTTACTCAGGGGCGTCCTAAACTGGGGGATTTAAGGTAAAAAGTACCCTAACTATTTTGGCGGTTCGTTTTTGCCAGTTTCAGCTACAAAATCCTAAATTTCATAGTTTTTCACAAGAAGAGGTCTCTTGCGTTTTTTTTCGATAAAACTTACCGTTTTTGAGTAAAATCAGTTTATAATTTGTCTTACCATTTAAGAAAGGCGTGATTAAAAATTTCGACAACTGATCTTTAAATTCGTTCAGGTGTTTAAAAGTAATCAGCTGTACCAACTTTTGTAATTTTATCTATTCTGCAATAGTGGGAAAACCCCATTAAAAACTCATTTCTTTCAGGGGGTGCAGCTCGCTTACGTAACATTTTTTGATACATGTTCATAGGAAACTTATGTCTTAAAATTGAATACTCTATGACCTGTTTAAGTTTGTAACAATAAAAACGGAACTCCCTCGTTGTCCCTGTTTACCGATTTTTTTTGCAAATTCTCTTTAATACCTAATCAGGAATAGGCCATCTTAAGCGGGGTTACAAGGGGTCCACGGCACCCGGGTGGCACAATTTTGGGGCTGCAATCTGAACTATTAAATATACAGGGTGATTCTTAAATAGATGGCCAAAATTTTACCACAGCTTCCCAAGGATAAATGGAGACGATCTGTACCATTTTACGTTATGTTTTAGAAGTAAAACCCCCTATTCATCAAATTAATACATGGTTTCCACTACCTATTTACAAACATATCAGTGGCGTACGCTTTACCTCGAACATAACTTTAATAAATTTTATTTCGAAAACGGTTAAACAAAGAATTTTTTACTATTTTTTCCAGCATGTACTCATTTGCTATTATGTACCACGGCTAAATTTTTGTCGATCTATTTAAGAATCATCCTATATGTTTTTTTTATATCGAGAGATCAAGATAATTTGTCGATAATTTGTAATCGAGTCATCTTTGAATCGGAAAACGTACGTCTGTTTTAGAACTAATTGCACGGGAAACGTCAAATAAAATGACCAGTGGAAAGGTAAAACGGCAAAATGGGTTGGAATTAGTTATATCTACCGACGTAGGTACAGTTGGAGACAAAATACTTTGGTCGTCACTTTTCTGACACTTTAATGTAATTCAAGCTTTAACGTTAAAATGAATGACAATTTCAAATTAATGACAGCTTTTATATTTTCCTATCAAAAATATGTACATACAACTTGACAGTAGCTAAAAATAAGGTTAACAGTCCTAAAGCATGCTTTACCATTTAGTGTCACTCAAGTGACATTGACCAAAGTATTTTGTCTCCAACTGTATAAGGTGAAACATAAATTTAGTTATTAAAATTATCATCTTTTTGATTATGTCATTTTACCTTTTGATTTGTCATTTTATTTGCCATTTCACAAACATACGTTTTATTTTGATCTCTCGATCTTACAATTAATTTTTTGTTTTTATTTTTCGGTTCAGAAAAAAATATTGTGTTGTATTTTAGTATCCTGAGAAACATAGTTTTTCTTAGAAAACGATAAGGAACGGCAACCTCTTTTGCACAGGTCCGGTGAATAATATGGTTTTTTATTAATTTCTGCAATTTTTTGAAAACAAAAATCTTTATTTTAGTAGCAGTCAATTCATGTTGGTTGGGGTAATGATAGATAGTATTCGAAAGTGACTGTTGATTTCATAAGAACAAAAAGTAAGATACAATTTTTGTGTTTATATTTGATTCTTTGGAGTAAAAAATGTTGAATATTTCAATAAATTTGTGATTTGTGAATTTGTAATCAAAAACTTCAAAAATGTCGATTAAATTGTACTTTTCTTTTGAAAACACTACTGATTATTATGGCTCGGATTATGTCCACGAAAAATTCGTAAAATATGCACATATACAGGGTGTTCCGTTTTTATTGTTACAAATTTAAACAGGTGATAGGATATTCAATTCTAAGACAAAAGTTTCCTATAAACATGTATCGAAAAATGCTTGGTATGGGAGCTACACCCTCAGAAAGGGGGCTAATAGGTTTTTGCTAATATTTCAGAAACCATTTAAGATAAAATTACAAAATTTGGTACAGATGATAATCTTTATACACCTAAACGAATGCAAACATCAAATGTCAAAATTTCTAATCAGGACCGTCCAAAACTGATGGGGTTTAGGGTAAAAAAATACCCTATCTATTTTGGCTCTAGTTTTTTTAGTTATGCATGGTAGTCACTTTGAATAACTCCTTTAGATTTAGGCAAATTCATTTAATTAATGTTATTATTGTTACTGTAATGTTATGTTAATTAGTTGAGGTTGATTAAAAAGTATGAATTTCTTGCTTTTATTATTCTGTAAATTCTGATTTATTTGAATGTTGTATTGGTGTGTAACATACATTTTAAATTAATTTTATTCAAAAACATTAAGTCGTATAGACATTTTAAATTAATTTTATTCAAAAACATTAAGTCGTATAGACAGACACAAGAGAGTTTTCTGTGATAAACTATCGAACTTAAGATTTTGTTGCTGAAAGTACCGAGAAACTAATGCCAAAATAAATAGGGTATTTTTTACCTTAAACTCTCCCAGTTTCGTACGCCCCTGATTAAAAATTTCGACATTTGATGTTTGAATTCGTTTAGGTGTATAAAGGTTATCATCTGTACCAAATTTTGTAATATTATGGTAAATGGTTTCTGAAATATTAGCAAAAACACATTAGCCCTCTTTTAGGGGTGTAGCTCCCTTACCAAGCATTTTTCGATACATGTTTATAGGAAACTTTTGTCTTAGAATTGAATATACTATCACCTGTTTAAATTTATAACAATAAGAACGGAACAGCCTGTATATGCACGCATTTTCACAAAAATATGTACAAGATATTAAGAAATATACTCTAATATATGCCAAATGTGCATCGATATGCAAAAGTTTTAACAATAAAAAATCAAAAATCAAAATTTTGACAACAAAAATTGAATAACTCAAGAACAAAACAAAATTTTGTTCTCAAATTAAAATATTTTTTATATTACTTTAATTTATTTTAATTATTATTTTTTGGAAATAAATGATTAAAAAAAAACACTTGATTCGATACTTTATATTTACCCTGTATAAAACGAATTTAAAATGGAAACACTCAGCAGGATACTAATTTTTTGAGTCTGGCTTACGAATTACCGGTTGTTTTCTCTTTAAAATATCTTGTAATCGGATCATTTCTTAAACATCGCAATTTTTAACTTGAAATTTTTAATCAGAAATTTGTGACTTGAAGAAAATATGCACAGATATGAAACATTTCCTAAAATATGCACGAAGTTGCCAAAATATGCATTTTTTATTTGGCTTATTTTAATCAAAAAACATTAGATATGTATAATTTTGTTGATATCCAGCGTGCGTCAGAACGCGCGCCCCAGAGAAAAATTTCGAGTAAGACAAGTACCAGGAACATGGAAAAAAATGTTAAAAAAATTCTTTCTGTCAAAAAATTTTGACATTTATTTTTTGACATTTGACATTTTTTAAGTCTATTTAATCATACTGATGATCTTGTATATGTTTTTTTACAATTATTTGGTAAAGGTACAAAAATTTTGCCAATAAAAGCCACAAATAACATTGAACAGAGTTACAATTTACGATACAGCGTCTTTGTTTCCTCTTCTAATAGCCTGTAGCAAAAAAAAATATTTTTCCAATAGAAATAAATTGAAATTTTTATAGATAAAATTTTTTTAACATTTTTTTCATGTTCCTGGTATCTTACCTTATATGGCATTTTTTTCTGGGGCGCGAGTTCTGGCGCACCTTGTATACCTTTTAATAACAAATATGCATTTTGCATATAATCCGAGCCTTACTGATTATACAATAGAACACACACTATTTAATTCGGATTGTTTTTTTAGTTTTTTAATGATAAAATGCATTAAAATTATGAAAAAAGCTTAAAATTAACCATAAAATATTGATATTTTATTCTTAAAAACCTTGTTTTTCTAACGTTTTTCTACCTACTATTATTGTGTATTTTAATTGCAATTATCTGATGGGAGAAAGCTGACTTTCAACATCGCAAACGAAAATTGTAAAAAAATTATTTCAAATCCAGTATGACTCCAAGACACGGGTTATCAGAGTTAGCTATAATTAGTATCGAAAATGGAATTGATTTAGATGTAACTAATATTGTTGGAGATTTTGCAAGGAAATTTGATTTTGGTTCATATTTTTTCATGTGTTGTAATTTTTTGTTAGGTTTTGTTGATTTTATTTCAATTTTGTTATTTTTTGTGTAACTTTAAAACTGTAAAAAGCTATAAAACGACAGGGGCGGCACTCTGAACTTTGCATCCTGGCGGCTGTAAGGCTCGAGACGGCCCTGTACCTAATTGTTTAGGAGTTTAAAAATACCTAACTGGGTTATTATTAATCATTATTACGTAAACTGTTTTATTTATTTTATTGAAAAATCTGTTTACAAATCACAATTGCTTATCTTATCACACCTTAGGCCCAATTACTTAAAGGCGATGTATATTTTAATCGCCATATATCCTGTGATAAGATAACCCACTAACCACGCCAATCCCCGCGCCGGTTGTGGCACAACTATCACAGTATAAACAACAGTGTGCAAAATCCTAACTATTGTAAAAGTTAAAAAAAGAGAATCAGCCCATTCCGGCTCTGGATCAGTCCAAATGTACGCAAAAGCGACCAATAAAAACAAATAAATACTTTCCATATCATTTCTATGCCCCCTGAAACAAAAATATTAACTTGAATTGAATCAAATCATTAATTTCACCTTCGAACTCGTTCGACTTTTGCATTAGTCCAACAAACAGTGCCTCCCAAAAACACAGCATCTTCTTCCGAAACCAAAGCCTAGAAACAATCTAATTCGATGTTTAAACCAAAAAAGTACTTACATTATTTAAGAGTCTTTGCCTAATTGTTAAAAGCGTCATCAGCATCATTTTTAAAGCCAGAATAGAAGAGTAAAATAAGTAACTGCGAAATACGGGATTTTCGAGTATCAGTGATTTCAAATACGGATCCATTTTGCAAAAATGTTAGAATCTATTTAACAAAATTTGACGATAAATTTCAACGAAGGTGAATAACAAACAAGTCAGGGTCGACGATTTTAAACTGTTTGACATTGATTCTTCGAGGAAATTATTGTCTAAAATATGCAGAAATAAATTTTGCACACTTCCCTGTGTGGAATAAGATGACAAATGTTTAATAAACAAATAAAAAAATTGTAAAATCTACACCGACTAGCGGTGTATAATTGGTTGCATAAATTGCTAAATTATGTAATTAAGTAATTTTAATTTTGCAGTATTAATAAAACGTCAACAAACGTTAATATATATTTATTTAATGTATTTTTTACATTTTACTTGACTACTTAAAAATATATTTAATGTGACTGCTTTCAAGTTCTATTAAAACTACATTATCAAAAATTTACATAATTAAATAAATAAAAATATGCAAGGCAGCATGCACAGCCATATATCCTGTAATTAAGAACCCAGCAACCCACAGAAGTGCCCTTGTGGGTTGTGGGAGCACGATTAAAGTATAGACGATGGTATGAAGAGCCCTAAGGATGGTAAACCCGAGATACAAGACCCAAGCAAGCCAAGCAGGGGGCTGCGTGAAAATATAGGCAAAAGCGGCTGCTAGAAAAATTGGAATGTTTTCCAAATCGTTCTGATGAGCTCTCCTCATCCGTTCCACCGTATCGTTCACTACGACTTGTCCTTGTAACCATTTGGCATCTTCAGGGCAAATAAAAGCCTAAAACAGAACGTGTTTTTCTAATTAAATATTGCGCAGATTGTTTTGTAATTTCTGAGGTCGTGCGAACCGGTTGAATTTTTTTTTTATAAAGACCGGTGTTAAATTTACCTTATATTTGAATCTGTTATAGATGGTGAGTAGAGACATGCCCATCATTTTTAAGACCAGCAAACAGGCACTTATTAAGTAAATGCCAAAAGCAGGGTTGTTAAGAGTGAAAAGTGAGTCGGGGGGCCCTACTGAACTTGTTGTGTTCACCATCTTGGACAATTTACTAAAATAACTTTCACTACACTTCTTCACGAGCGCCGGACTGCAAGTGGTTTCAAGAAAAGTCAGTTTTCAACTTTGAAACGGTTTTGTTATTCAACCTTGTCGTTTCGGACGTCCTTACGAGGGTCTTCCTTGTCTAGCCCATTAATTTGACTCGGAAATAGAGAGTTATATGTCAATGAAACAAGAAATTCAAACTGGAATTTATTAACAACCTACCAAATATAAATTTATTTTTTTGTACAACTTAAATTAATTTTTAACAAAAGTGGAGTAACGTTTTGATTGCCATATACCCAGTGATGAGAAAACCTATCAACCAGGCCCGTCCTCTGATTGGTTGGGGCATTATAATAACAGTGTAGACGCAAGTGTGTATAATTCTTGAAACAGTGAAAATGAAAAATAAAAGGTTGGCGAAAAACGGACTTGGGTCCGTCCAAATGTACGCAAATCCGATGACAAAGAACAAGTAGATATTTTCCATGTCATTCCTATGTCCCCTACAAATAAATAACTGTGATTCAAGTTGAGTCAAGTTACTTAAGTTACCTGCGCACCCTTTCGACGTGTTCATTGGTGCGCGAAACCATCCCTTTTAAATACATCGCATCTTCTTCACTTACAAACGACTACAATTGATTAATTAATTATATTCTGATTAAGCAGTGATTAAAGTACCTACTTACGTTATTCATGACTCTTTGTCTGATGGTGAGGAGCGACATAAACATCATCTTTAAGGTTAATATGGCTGTATAGAACATGTAGCTGCGGAAAACCGGATTTTCTGTTATGAAGATTTTGAGTTGTTGGACGTCCATGTTTTTGCACTGATTTGAATTTCTTTGATAAATCTAACGGAAAGCAGTGAAAAAATCTGCTTTCTAGACCGGCTCGTCCGACACGTTCAAAGAACCCAAACGACTGACCTTGCTAAGCAAATGCAAACTTCAACATTAGAAATGTGTTTTGACCCATTTTCTTACAAGTAATCAAAATAATGCACTGACTCGAAGTCGAAGAGATTTTGTGGTGTTTGGGAGATATTTGGTGAAATGACCTGATTTTTCAACAGTTACGACATGCAACAGGTTGGTGGCAATGCCCGGCTTGGGTCTTCGGGCTTCTCATATTGTTTACTTTCGCTGGAGTGTTTTTTTTTGCAAAAATTTCAGTTTTGGCAATTTTTGTTTTTTTTGGCAATGTAGCAATAAAATCAAAAGTGGAAGTGGAAATGTGGTAATAACTCATTATACCGCTTATATAAAACTTTCACGATTCAAGGTATTTTTAGTTATGTGTTTATGATAGATAAATACATTTTCGAAGGGTCAGATTTCAGTTTTTGTAGGATCGGTGCCAGGGCCGTAACCAGGATTTTATTTCGGGGGGGGTTTCTTGTTGGTCCATGAAAATGAAAAGAAAGAAGGCGGATTAAAAAGCAAAATTCTCTAAGTACACGTTTTTATTTTAAATTGAATGAAAAGATCCTAATTAAACATGAAAAAATACAAACTACCTCACAAAAGTA